GCCGGGGCCGTGCGGGCACACCGATCCCCGAGGGGCCGCGCGGGCACACCGCGCCCCGAGGGACCGGGGCGAGCAGGGTGGCGTTAGGGTTGTGTTCCCCTGCTCTGTGCAGGCTTACGTGCATAAGAGCGTGATGGAGGAGCTGAAGAGGATCATCGATGACAGCGAGATCACGAAAGAAGATGATGCTCTGTGGCCTCCCCCCGACAGGGTGGGCCGGCAGGTGAGTGTGCGGTGTCTTTTCTCAGTGCTGCCTCAGTTTTTGCATGTTCATGTGATTGCTCCTTAGGGGCATAACTGAACTTCTCCCCCGAGGCACTATTGTTCCCAGCCGCGAGGGAAACAACTACTATTGTAAAAGCTGAGCAGTGCCTCAATGGCAGCTTGGTTGTAGGAGTTAATGTGATTCACAGACCTGCTGTGTTGTCTCTAATCAGAACAGCAAAGCCATCACCACAGTGCTGAAGTAGTAGAGTTCCTGTAACCTTTTATTTTTCAGGAGCTTGAGATAGTAATTGGTGATGAGCACATCTCCTTCACCACGTCCAAAATCGGTTCCCTCATCGATGTAAACCAGTCCAAGTATGTACTCTGCTTCCTTATGTTGCTGTTGAGTTTATTTAACAACCTGTATTGGAACTTGCTGATTCCTGGTTAGCTGTATTTTGTATCGTCTCGAGGTACAGATCAGTTCCTGGGGACACAGTGTTCTGTGCTGCAGTGTAAGGTACCAAATGCCTTTAGACTGTGCATTACACACTGTATTTTCAGACTCAGGAAGAGCTGACCCTGGTGTAGGAACTGTTAGAGTCTGAACTGAGCTGCCTTTGGCCTGTCCACACCAATTTCTTTGGGAGAACCAAGATTTCTGCATTTCCCCTAAGCTGCAGAGACTGACACTTTTTGAATTGAAAGTGCTGTTACTGCTTGGTTATGTGATAAAAAGTCACATTGTTTTAAGACTTGTTCACACTCGGAGTACAGAATGTTCTATCCATCAATGTAGAATGAAACAAACCTGTTCATGTCTGAGATGACCTCCAAAAAGTCTCCTATAAGCTTTGGGGGTTTTTTTAATGGCCCAGTTCTGTAAACTGCTGTGTAAGAACATCAGTCTCACAGTTTTTCTCTCCCTTCTGTTGTGCACTGCAGAGATCCAGAAGGCTTGAGAGTGTTCTACTACCTGGTCCAGGACCTCAAGTGTCTTGTCTTCAGTCTTATTGGACTCCACTTCAAGATTAAGCCAATTTAAATCAGACAAACTGAAGTTTGTATTGCAGTGTCTGTAGGGGGGTGGGGGTGGATCCTGTTTCAGTTCCTTTGGCCTGAAGCTTTTATGTGTGTTAGATTTATTGGGGTTTTTTACAAAGCTGTCAGTGACTGTCTTAATAAAAAGGAGTATCTGTGTTTTTAATATTTAAGTTGTGGCAAGAGACTGACTTCCTAACACTTCTTTCATCATGGTAAATTCAGGGCATGTCACCTCACTTGTATCACTTGTATCACACACATACTGTCTTTCTTTGTCCTTGCAGCAGTAGAAACTGGAATTAAGCCTGGCTCTGTGAAAAGAAATTTGCCAGCTGTCATGGTATTACTGTCCCAAGCTGGACATTCTGTTGGCCAGCTCAAAGATGCAAAGAGGTGATTCTGCACATGGTAACTGCTTATAGCAGACACACATCAACTTCAGCATGAGCTGTGGTTACCCATTTGCTTTCAGAGCAGAGGTAGACAACACGTCACCCATCTAGGATCCTCACTGATACTCCTGTCCAACCTCAGAACAGCTGAAAAGCAGTGCAGAATGCATTTAGTTAAGTTCTAGATGAGCAGATCTGTTGTGTAGCATTAATAAGAGACTTCACAGAATCAGGGAATATTCAGAGTTGGAAGGGACCCACGAGGATCATCGAGTCCAACTCAGGACATCCCTGAGAATCACACCATGTGCTTTTGAGGGGACTGGGGCTCCCTGCAGGCTCTGAGGGTGTTCCTTTCAGCAAACTGTGTCCTTGCTTTCTCCATCACCTCTCTCTGTCTTTCCTACATCAGTACCCACTGCTATTAAAACCCATTGTGGTTAAACGATGTTTTAAAAGGTGAAACCCCTCATTACTAGTGCCAGAACATCCTCGTTTCCCTGCCTTCTCCACCAGTGTGGCTACAGAACCACAGACTGGGTAAGGTTGGAAGGGAACAGAGTGGGTCATCTGGTCCAAGCTCTGCTCCAGCAGGGCAGTTCCAGAGCACATGGCTCAGGATTGGGCCCAGGCGCTTCTTGCACACCTCCCGTGAGAGAGACTCCACCACCTCTGGGCAATCAGTCCAGCACTCCGACACTGCACAGGCAAGAAGCTGTTGCTCGTATTCAGCTGCATCACTACCTGCGCGTCAGTTTTTGCCGTTACCCCGTTTGTTCGCACCACTGAGAAGTCTGATCCGCGCTCTGTCCCCGCTCGCGTCCCCCGGCCGCGCCGT